AAGGGGGGGGTGGTAAGAGATCAACCAAAGGACCAGTATGCATGCATATAAGTATATAACCAATGGACAGAAGACACTGGGGGGTAGGGAAGCGGGGGAATGTCAAGGGGGGGAAAAAAGGAGACATATGTAATACTCTTTGTAATAATTTCAATTTAAATTTGATTAAAAAAATCTTCACCCAAGGGTGTATTTATTGATTTTAGAGAGAGGAAGGAAGAGAGAGAGAAACATGGATGTGAGAAACTATTGATTGGTTGCCTCCTGTATGTGACCCAACCAGGAATCAAACCCACATCCTTTTGGTGAACGGGCCAATGCTCCAACCAACCAAGCCACCTGACCAGGGCACTTATTTTTTATACATATTGAGGTAAAATTCATATAAAATAAAATGAACCATTTTAAACATTACATGTGCATTGCTGGCGCACACATTCAGAGCAGAAGTATTCAAAACAGCCAAAAGCAGAAACAAACCAAATGTCCATCACCAGATGAAACAAATGTAGTCCATCCTGTTAGGTGTCTTGGGCCGGTGATGCGGGCTGTGAAAGAATTACCAAATGAGAGAAGAGATAGATGATAGATAGATAGATAGATAGATAGATGGATGGATAGATGAGATACTGGTAAATAGTGAGAGAGAGAGAGAGAGAGAGAGAGAGAGAGAGAGAGAGAGAGTTTATTTTACTTTACCTGAAGGGAAAGGGCCAGTGCATTGCTGATCAATACAAAAGGCAAAAAACAAAATCTTCTCCAGCCTTTAAAGCCTTCTTGCTATTGCTAGGTGACAAGGAAGGGAGGGGAATTTTTAGGCTGGAGGTGAGCAGACATCAACGGAGCTGTCATTGAAAAGTGTGTTAGTTCTTCAGGAGACAAGCCAGGCAGATGTCTTAAGGAGGTGTCTTATCAGTATTTTTCCAAAGCCTGTAAAACATTCTTAAAGAAAAAGTTGTGAAGAGTTCAAAAGAGGCTTGTTTGAAGAGGAGCAGGGAAGGGAACTGTCTACTAATTATGCCTGGGTTGTAAACCAGCAGGGAGGAGGTATTGGAAGAATGTAGCCTTGACAGTAACTTATTTTGTCTTGCAGTTTGAACACAGGGGCTGTTTCAACCGGAGGAGCTAACGATCTTGGGGTTTAATTACCAGGTGCTTCATATAAATTGTGGAAGGCTACAGCAAAGAAAAAGAAAGGCGTTTTTTTCCATTGAACACATCCATACCATGGACTATTACTCAGCCGTAAAAAGGAAAGAAGTTCTGATACATGCTACTATAAGGATGCATCTCAAAAAACATGATGCTGAGAGAAGCCAGACACAAAAGGTTACATATTGTGTGCTTGCATTGATAGGAAATGTCCAGAATAGGCAAATCCACAAGGACAGAAAGGCCAGTGGTTGCCAAGTTTGAGAGGAGGGAGGAATTGCCACTGAGTATTCCTTTTGATGGAAATGTTTTGGAACTAAACAGAGGTGATGGTTGTATAGCATTGTGAATTGTGAATTTTAACATGGTTAACTTTAGTTATATAAATCTCACCTCAATATTTAAAAACCAATGATGATGATGGGCAGAGTTGGGTTTGAATCCCATCTCTCTTTCCTGCTGTGTGACCTTGGGCAACTCAACCTCTTGTGCCTTGGTTTGCCTCCTTATAAAACAGGAGGAGTCCATGAGTTTGTCAAACATAAAACCATCTGTGGCACGAAGTAAGTGCCGTTTAAATGTTATTTGTACTTGACACATGCCCTATGGATTTGAACTATATTCCTTTGTCCTTTTCTTCATGACAAACTCCTGGCCTTAATTTCCCCCTGTGGATGTCTCTGGCCAAGGGCATGGCTCAGAAGGCAGGACTCATATCTGATTGTACTGTTGGAAAGGTCTGATGGATAATACACTCTGCCCTCTGCCACTTCTCCCAGCAACTCTCCAGGCATGCACCCTTCCTTTCTTTCCTCCACACCCCCAGTGCCTGGCCCAGGGGCTGGCGAAGAACAGACGTGCCAGGAAAGTTTGCTGCCTGGCTGTCCGACGTTGGCCCAGAACCAGGAACCTGTTTTGTGCCTCACACAGAATATGAGTTTTGTGCCCAACACAGGTAGGTTTGAATCCTGATTCCTGTGTGACCTTGAGCAAGATGCTGCACCTAGCCCAGCTGGCATGGCTCAGTGGTTGAGCATTGACCTATGGACTGGGAGGTCATGGTTTGATTCCTGGTCAGGGCCCATGCCCTTGTTGCAGGCTCAGTCCCCAACGTCGGGTGTGCAGGAGGCAGCCAATATGATTCTCATCACTGATGTTTCTATCTCTCTCTTCCCCTCTCCCGTCCTCTCTGACATCAAATTATATATATATAGCTGTACCTCTCTGAGTTCATTGGAGAGGGGGAGATAATAGGCATATGTACTTCATGGAATGGTGTTGGGGGACTTTGGTGAGATTACCCGAAGTGCTTAGCACCCTGCCTAGCACACAGTAAGTGCAGTTGGTTGGATGCTGACCTGCAGAGGATAGGCCCATGTCCTAACCCCCCAGGACCTACGAATGTGATCTTATTTGAACAAAGAGTAAAGAGGAGGCCCATTGGCTGGAGTGGAGTGAGTGAGTGGGAGAGTGGGGGAGATGAGGGCAGGAAGGTGACAAGCAGATTGTGCAGGTCCTGGTAGGCCACAAGGAGGACTGGGTTTTATCCTGAGTGAGGTACGGGTCCTGAAAGGCTGTGAGCAGAGGAGGAAGATGCCCTGACCCTGATGTTCACAAGTGTCCTCTGGAGCAGCGGTCGCCAACCAGTGGTCTGTGGTCCATGAGGTCCAAAAGGTTGGCGACCGTTGCTTTGGAGGCTATGCAGAGAAGAGACTGTAAGGTTGAGGGTGGAAACCAGAGCTCAGAGAGAAGGTGACTGCACCTCTAAGCCAGCAATGATGTGAGCTGAGGCTGGTTGGGTGCTGAGGGAGTGGGGAAAGCCAGATTCTGAATAACATTGAAGGTGGGGTGGGCAAGGCTTGCTCCTAGATTAGATGTGGGTGAGAAAGAGGAACTGAGGAAGTTCCAAGCATTGGATTTCAAAGGCCCAAAACAAGGCCTTCATGAAAACAACAAAAACA